TGAAGGAGGGGGTCAAACATGTTGCCTTCAGAAGTTGTGGGAGCTTCATCCTTGGAAGCTTTCAAGAAGAGATTGGACTGTCAGAAACGGTGTAGGGTCTCCTGCTCGGGCGGGGGGGGGGGGGTTGGATTAGATGACCTCCAAGGTCCCTTCGAACTCTCTGTTATTCTATGTTCCATGTTCTAGCTCCCTGCTCTTCCTTGGACACCTTCCCTGTAGCATCACAGTGGCAATATCTAGACCAGTCAATTAATGCTCCTTCTTTACTATCCCTCCAGCGTGTAACGTTTATAGATCTATCTGCAAGACAGTTGTGAAATCAAGAGCTCTGCGGTGATTTATAAAGTAGTTGACAAAACAGCGGGATTATTTTTAATTAAAAAGGCTCCATCTGAGCTGATTAGCTCCTCCACCAAAGAAGCAGCAAAGCCAAAGAAACAACATCTTCACACTCAAGTCTACACACACCTTTCACTTCTGGGCATTTGTAAAGCGTTCGCTTACACCTCACACTAGCTGTGAGTCACAGCTGCCGTGCAGAACCTCATTCAAGAAACCTGGTTGGCGTGACTTTGCCATTCACAAAACCATGGGTGTTGGCTTTACACGCTGTGCAAACTCACCATCTGTCCCGTGTGACTTACAACCTTTAGTTTACATTGTAACGCTCGCAGTGACAATGACACTGAAAAAAAAAGTGTATTATGACCGTTTTTCGCACTTACGACTGTTGGGGCATCCCCGTGGTCATGAGATCAAAATTCGGGCGCTTGGAAACCGACTCATACTTATAACGGTTGCAGTGTTCTGGGGTCACGTGATTCCTCTTTGAGACAAAATCTACGGGGGAAGCCAGATTCACCTAACAACCAGGTGACTAACTTAACCACTGCAGTGATTCGCTCAACAACCGTAGGAAGGAATGTCGTAAAATGATGCAAAGCTCACTTAATGACTGCTTCACTCAGCAACAGTTAATTGGGACCATAAGTCAAGGACTATTTGTAATGAATTCACTGATTAAACAGTGACTGAGGCTAAGCATTAAAATAATGTTATTTTTATTCTCTCTTTGTGTGCATTTTTAGTTTGTACTTCACATTCCTTGTCGAAATGTTCTCTCTCTGAGAATATATCTGCTGGGAAAAAAACACAAACAAAACTCCACATTGGTGACGGGAAGGGCATCTGGTCAGTAAACACTCAGCTCTGTTCAGTTGGCCAGACTCCACCCCAATGCAAGGGATTATGGGGTCATTTTAAAGAGGACTTTTCCTTCTCAAAATGTTTATTTTTCTTTAAGACGGAAGACAGTTTTCATCCAAAATAATAAAGATGATTAAAAATAAAGCCATGATTTTTTTAAAAAAACCAACCCACCCACTCCCTTTTCATTTAAATCAATCATGTCGGGGAAAGTTATGGCATGCTACAAGCGGCGATTCCAGTAAATAAATAATGCAAAGAAAACCCAAATTTGGACAACTTCCCAAAATTATATTCTGGACAATAGGACCAACAGGGAAGCATTATTTTCAGTAGCTTTTGAGAGTTTCTCATTATTATTAATTCTTTATGAAAAGATTATTATCATCATTACTGGCACAGCACAAGGACTGCTATATATATATTTCTCCTCTCCATGGGCATTTCTCACAGAAATGTAAGAGCTGGCCTCACACACACAACTTATGGACCAGTGGAGTGTACTGTAAACCGGAGCTCTCTGTCCATCGCCCTTCAAGCCATATTCACACAACACACAATACAGTAAATCTTAAAGGAAGGAATCACCGTTAGAAGAGAAGAGAAGAGAAGAGAAGAGAAGAGAAGAGGGGATAGAATAGAATAGAATAGAATCGAATAGAATCGAATAGAATAGAATAGAATAGAATATAGAGTAGAGTAGAGTAGAGTAGAGTAGAATAGAATAGGAATAGGAATAGGAATAGGAATAGAATATAGAATAGAATAGAATAACAGAGTTGGAAGGGACCTTGGAGGTCATCCAGTCGAACCCCCCCACCTGCTCAAGGAGTTGCTGCACTGATGTAAGAGAGCTAGTCCTCAATTTACAATAATTTGTTTGATGGTTACGACACTGGAAGGAAGTGATTTATGGCCATTTCCCACACTTATGAGTCCTTGCAGCATCTCTATGGCCACGTGATCAGAATCTGGAGGCTTGGAAACTGGCATGTACTTATGTCAGTTGCAGCATCCCAGAGTCACATGATCCCTTTTGTGACCTTCCAACCAGCCAGCTTCACTGGCTGGTTCCTAACTTAACGACTGCAAGTGATTTGCTTAACAAGGTGGTTAAAAAAAAAATGGGAGCAAACCTCACTTAGCAACTGTCTTCCTTAGTAACGGAACGTAGGTTGCTCCAGTGATGTAACTTTAGTCTTCTCACGACCAGAGAATTGTTAAGATTCCCACAAGACGCTGAATCGCATTTTAATCTCCTTGGAATTTGTACAATGATGCCAACCCGGTCTAGGAATTCAAAATAATCCCGTGGAAACCACCAGCGATGCTTCCGCTTACGGGCAGCATTGGAAGACAAATATTGTCTTGATGACAGCCCTTAGAAAGTCCTTGCCATCAGGCTGTTCCCAGTGGGGATGATGGGACTTGATGTCCCGCACCCTCTGGGCAGCTTTGAAGTTCTCCAACCACACGCTCCACCCCCCAACTTCACTCTTCAATGGACCTTCAAAATGTACCTCTCATTTCCTGAGTTTGCAACAAGACAATAACTCCCACTCTCTGTCTACACACACACACACACACACTTAATTTTCCACTCCCATCTTCATGTTTAGACACTAATTAATGAGGCAGCGAGGAGATTCTGATTATTCCTATCGTGGCCATATTTAAATTCAGGAATCCAGCCCAAGTATTGATCCTTAAAAAGCATCTGAAAATCCACTTTAAGCCAACGCAACTCATTTGTCTACCCAGCCAATTCTGCAAGCTCAGTTGACCGAATGAAATAAACCTCTTAAGCATCTTCCCCGCCCTTACCCTGCCCTCTTGCTAAGCCATCTCTGACTTTGGGATCAGGGATATTATGGAGTGAAAGAACACAATGCAACCCAATAACAGAGTTGGAAGGGACCTTGGAGGTCTTCTAGATCAACCTCTGCTCAGGCAGGAAACCCTCTACTATTTCAGACAAATGGTTATCCAGTCCCTTCTTAAAAGCTTCCAGTGATGGAGCAGCCACAACTTCTGGTGGCAAGCGGTTCCACTGGTTAATTGTCTTCACTGTCAGGACGTTTCTCCTTAGTTCTAAGTTGCTTCTCTCCATGGTTAGTTTCCATCCATCGTTTCTTGTCCTGCCTTCTGGGGCTTTGGAGAATAGATTGACCCCCGCCTCTTCTTTGGGGCAGCCCCTCAAATACTGGAAGACTGCCATCCTGTCACCCCTGGTCCTTCTCTTCACTAGACTAGACATACCCAGTTCCAGCAAATATTCTTTACATGTTTTAGCCTCCCCTAATCCTCTTTGTTGCTCTTCTCTGCAGGGCCTCAACATCTCTTTTACATCGTGGTGACCAAACTGGATGCAATATTCCACGTGTGGCCTTACCAAGGCCTTATAAAGTGGTATTAACACTGCCCATGACCTTGCGGTAGATCCAGATAGACATCACAGAACCACCTGTGGGTGCTCCATCACTGGAAGTTTTTAAAAAGAGTGTGATGACCCAGGGTGGTATACAAAACAAACACAGTCACAGAAAACAGGTGAAGCCCCTTTGATTCCTTCACTTTGCTTCCAAGCTCCAAATATCCTTGATGGAAGACAAAAAAAACTCCCACACAAACAGTTACAAGAAGGAGGGAAAAGGCAACACAAACCAGGCAAGATAAGGGCTGGAGGACGTCCACAGATATCAGAACACACACTGGGAAGGACGCCAAACTCAGAGAGGAACCATAAACTAGAGATATTTCCACGCTTTCTTTCCAGCGCTTGCCCGTACGCATGTGCGTCCTCTTATTCAGTTGTCACAGCTGCAGCCCATGAAGATGATCAAGGCCCTCTCCTCCCGAGTAGACCATGTCTCTCCCTTATCCTCTCCTCCCTGCGTGCCCTAGGATGGAGAAGGGATGGGCCTGGGTCCTCCTCTGGCTGCCCAGCCGGCCTCTGCCCTTCCCCAGCCTCCTCCACCACCTCTGGAGCCACAGCTCCACTCCCTGTCGGCTGTTCCTCCTCTCCCTCAAAGTCAGTCTCCACAGGGGGCATGACAAAGAGACTGGACAGCCGTCTGTCCAGAATGATATAATAAGGTCTCCTGCTTGAGCAGGGGGTTGGACTAGAAGACCTCCAAGGTCCCTCCCAGCTCTGTAATTCTATGTTCTATTCCACTTCCCCCCGGATGCAAAGCGAAGACTCTTCGTATTACGTCCCCTAGTTTAACGCCCGAGTGCAATTCTTAAGAAAGATTCATGCCCCCTTGAAGATGGGATTCAGCCCAGATCCTTTCACACCTGACCCAGGTATTCTACCCAGGACAAAGACGCATAGAGACCCTGCTCAACATGTAGAGCTTCTTCCCAAAGAGAGTTTTCCCCAGCTGCTTGGGCACACCTTTCACCAAAAGGAGAATGTTCTGCCTACAGAACACATTTTGCACGATTAAAAACCAGAAACGCCAAGGATCAGCTCCAGACCGGACTTCATCACAACAACTGTTCAATTTTGAAATTCACTTCTCTGGTCTGTTTCTCCTTCGCTGGATTCGCACCGTGTGCAAGAGCTGAGCCCACAACCAGCCTTTCCCGGACCAAAGGACCCCTCTGGGCATTCGTGGATCAACCCCAAAACTGAAAGTTGAAGTTTGAACAGAAGTGACAGGCTGTTCAAATCAACTTTCTTCTCACTCAGGAAGCAACCAAGACTTCGGGAGAATTGCAAACTCTTAGGTCTGTGAAAACAGGGCAAAATAAATACATTTTTTTAATTTAAAAAAAAAAGTCTTACTTACATGAGTGCAAAACCGCTCAGGTGGGTCCCCGCAGGTGATGCCGTAAGGTTCCACCCGGACCGTTGCAAAGTCCTTCATGGCCATCGCTTTGGGCTGGCAAGCGTAAAACTCCCACATGGGCCCATTGTCTGTGGTGACCCAAGACTTGCAGATGTCATACTGTCCCATGACCAGAGGAAGACAATGCAATAAGATGGCCACGTGGTGAAGCATGGCAGATGCAGCCAAGCGGAAGGGACCCCGGAATCGTGACCAAGTCAGAGACTGGCGTTGGGGAAGTCCTCTGGATCAGCATGGACACTTCCCGCCCAAGACCACGCCTGGAGAGGTCCAGTTGAAGAGAATGAGGAGGTCCATTCCCTACCCTCCCGCCTTAGCCATGGGGAGCAGCAGCTGTCCCGAGCAACCCCCCCTCTCCCCACTGATCAGCTATCACGTCTTGTTCCACTTCATCCTCTCCTTCTGTCGGCTAAGCAGTCTCGGGATGTGAAGGTAGCTAGAGGTGACTCGCTCCGATCAATCAAGAGAGCTATCAAATTTTCATTTTGCGATGAAATTTGACCAGTCGAGGCAGCGGGGGCAGGACATATATGAGAGAGAGAGAGAGAGAGAGGAAGGGAAGGAGGAGGAGGAGAAGGAGAAGGAGAAGGAGAGGAGGAGGAAGAGGAGTGTGTCTGTGTGAAGAAGGGCTTAAAAAGTTACAGGGTTGAGTACAGTTAACTTTTCATTCCCACCCCTTGCTAATGGCTACGTGGCACCAAGCTGTCAAGTACTTTTTTTTGGGGGGGGGGGTAACCCTCTCTAAGGAAAAGAACATTTGAGGCTAAAAAGAGAAGAAGAAAGAAAAAAATAGAACGCGTGCCTCACATTTCTTGACCAATAAACTTCAAGAAGACAATTTCACCCTCTGGGTTTGTTTGTTTGTTGTTGTTTAAAAAAAAATAACCATTCATGAATTTGTTGCCCCTTTCTTTCTTCTTTCTTTCTTTCTTTCTTTCTTTCTTTCTTTCTTTCTTTCTTTCTTTCTTTCTTTCTTTCTTTCTTCTTCTTCTTCTTCTTCTTCTTCTTCTTCTTCTTCTTCTTCTT